TCGTTCAGTTTATAATTTTTCAGTACTATAAATTTTAATTTAATTTTTAATAAAAATATTTTGTTTTAAAGCCAAATCCAAGTCCAATACCTTTGAAAGCATTAAAAAGTTGGGAATCCCAGATCAACATAAATGATTAGTTAATATTTACCAAGTCATTTTAACAATTATAATAATTGTAAAATCATTACAAAAGATGTTAATATTTATTCCTTTATTTAAATTTTTTATATTTTCAATGATAAAAATAGGAGGCATTAATAGAAGGTAAAAGATTTAATAGAAAATGAAGAGTAAGGACCTCGACCTCAATTTTATTCTTCTTCATTCTTAATCACTTCTTTCCAAAAATATTTTCATAAAGTTTGAACATTTTGAAAAATATAAAAGTTGGTGAGAAAACATTGACCGTAAAGCATATTCATTTTCAATACTTCGACTGATTAGTCGACTACATTCAGCCAATCTTTGAGCCCCTTCAATTAAACCTAATCTTCGTTGATTATATCGAAGTAAAATATTTGTATATTTACTAGATTCGTCTAAAAGTAATTCCTTTCCTTCGGGAGACAAGTCTTTAGCATCTTTTTGTGAAAAATTTTTTAGTTCGCCTTTACAAATTAAAGTTTTACCCGCTTTTGTAAGGATAATAGCTACCAATAAAGCATATTCAATTTTTGTTAATGCAAAACGTTTAAAGTGAATAACAGATTTTGTATACACATAATCTGACCATTTAATCATTCTATTGATTAAAAAAATATTTTTTCAAAGATTTTAGAAAACTTTATTTACTTATCATCATTTACAGAATACTTCAAAATAGTGAGAGCAGGCATAACACAATCTTTACGTACCCAACTTTCAGAACCTAATTCAAATGATAGATAGGTGTTTGTAAATGATATAAACAGATAAGAAATACTCCTTAGATGTGCAATCTATTTTATAAAAGAAAATTAATTTGTGATGTTAATTGAGCTTTTCTTGCTTTTGTCTTTAATTTCGTTTAGCACACCCGTTATTTCAGGGGTGTAACGAAACTGATTTTAAGAGTTTAAGATTGAGCAATTTAAAAACAATATTATAATGTGCAAACTCTGTACAAAATTTTGATGTACCTTCATGTATACCGTATTTTTCGATTAATTACCCACCCTCGAATAATTCAAATATATCATAAAGAATATATCATAAGAGTTGGTCAGTTGGAACTCTCTGAAGCAATCTGCCTTGCAGGTTTAACCAAGGCACTTACTCATTTATTTATAACAAAATACCTGATCAGATAAAGTCAATTTTTCAAAAACAGGCATAGATCTAGCTATACCAACACACAAAAGTCTGTCGACTAAAATACATTTTTGAACTCTACTATTAAATATTCCCTCAGTTTGAAATGAAGATTCCCAAGTATTTAATTCATCAAAAGGTATTGGACTTGGATTTTGCTATAAATAAGATTGAATTTTATTAAAAATTAAATTAAAATTTACCGAAAAAGTGCAATTAAACGAAAAATATTAAAATTAGACAAAATTATTTCTTCAAACAAAATCGGGCCATAAAGGAATATATCATCCAAATCATTAAATGCATGCATAATACGTTTTTTGGCGTCAATAATTGGTAAAATTGAATCTATTTGTTGTTGATCTTTGATGGATATTACGACAATTGGAGGATTTGGAAGCTTAAAAAGTACAGAATTTTTCATAAAAAATACAGGGTTTCATATATAAAATATTATCTTTTAAAGATATTATTTTTTAATATTATTTTCAGAAAAAAAAATTTTTAAGGTGTTTTTCAGGGGCATCCCAATTCTTCACAATTACCGATTCTACATTATCTTTTCCCGATCAAAAAATAAATTTACGTTAATTTCATTTCTTTGTTCTTCCATTGCTTCCCGGCATATATCTTGGCGTACATATGCAATAAAGATTATTTTTTAAATTAGTATGTCGGTTCATTAAAAGTTCCCACAAAAGAGTTGGACAATTTATCGAAGAGTTGAGAATACCCGGGACATTCCAGCTCAGCTACCCCCAACTGGCTCATCTCCTCTTCATCTTTATTCAGTCTAATTTAACTCCAAATAGCGTGCGGTTCATACCGTCGCGCTACAACCAGCTCATCATTCATTCAGCGACACGTCCAAAAGAATATATGACATAGTTTTTTGATAGTCGTGCAAGGGACCAAAAGTGGGTCTTAATATTTTTTCCTCCAAACAATTTTTGTTTTATTATCGTAATTGGTATATATTTCAGAATAGACTCTCTTTCGATTTATCCTGGTTTAAAAGGCTAGGAAAAAGACCCTGTTGATTTTGTCACCCACTCTGTTGAAAAAAATAGTTATCACTCAAAAAATAAGTGATAACAAAAATGAACTTATTTATGAACCGACCTAGTATTTTTAAATATTTTGACAAACCCAATTTTTTCATTCCAACAGAAAAACATATATCAAGTCTACATTTTTTACATTTTTCCCAATGTGTTCCGGATTTTTCGGCTTTCTTCTCTTTTAACAACAATTGTTTTTCCAAACATTGACATTTATTATATTTATACTTTTTTTCATTTTCAAGATAACGCCTTTTAATTAAGGATTTTTCCAAATTTTATTAAGAAATACCTGAAAAAAGCCCCACAAGACCTACATGTACATACTCCATAATGAAAACAAACATTTTCTTTTGAACCACAAACTTTGCATTTTTTGATAAAATTTCTTTGCATTTTTAAAATTAAATTGGTATTTTTTCTAATTAAAATAACAGTAAAATAATCTGTCAATGCTTAATTAGTACGTAATTAATGAGAAAAATGGAAATAGTCGGAATTAAAATATTTTTAGATGTGTGGTCCCAAAAAATGATTTTCCTATGGGGATAAGTGCCCAGCTTTGCTTATTAGAATCTGAATTGTGATAATTTCAGAAGCTGTATTTCAAACGAGCAGAGCTGGGTACGTATTCCGTTTTTATTTGGTCGTTATCTAGTATAGGTATTTCTGAAAAAGGGAGAAAGTAAAATTCGGGGATGTAAACGCATAGAACCAAAAAATTAAATAATTATGAGATACCTGTGAGAATGATTTTATTTTAATAAAAAGTATTTAATTTTAATTTTTCTAAAAAATTACCAGCTAAACAAATAAATTTTTTAAAAAGGTATTAGAGAATTAAATACCCATCTTTTATTTTTAAGCCATGGTTCGATTTTCTGAGCCACCAACTTTTTGGATTAGAAGCATTGCTGTGCGTAACTTTTTTAACATTTTCTTGTTTCTAATATTCTCAAAAAATTAATTATAGTCTAAAACGCAAATTTTATTGCCATGGCAAATGATGAATAAACTGACCGTATTTATATTCTAATATAACGACATGTCGTTTTATTTTTCAACACTTCTAGGGTGTTGTTTTATTAAAGACTGTCTTTATATTAGAATAAATACGTCACAATATTACAAATCTCAATATGAAAATTTTTAACTTTAATAAGAAATTAATTTATTTTTCCATCGCTGCTGCTTTTTCTTTTTCCGCAGAATTCCGCCTTTTTCACCCTTCCGCTCTCGGGTTCCGTCTACAACTTCCGCTTTCTTCCACCTCCGATTTTTAAGTACGGCAAGGCCCATACCTAACATAAACGCATGGTACCTCAACTTCGTTCCAGTATAATTCAGATGGATCAGAATTTCTACTGCAGCACTGTTGTTCAGACACCAGCTTCTGAAATTCTTCTTTTCTTTTTTTAAAAAAGTGGCTATAACTCCAAAATTTCTAAATTAAAAAATCAATCCAATAAAAAAAATTTTTTCTAATTTTCTAATATCTCTTTAATTTTTGTTAGAAAATTTATTTGGTTAGCTGTCAATATTTAAAAAAATTAAAATTGAATAATATTTAATATACATATCACAATTTTGCCCCAGATTGCGGACTGCGGATTGCGTCTGTGGAAAATTTTTTTTCATTGCGGATACGGTCTGAACCAGGGCTGCACGCAATCGAAAAAAAATTCCGCAACTCGCAATCCGCAACTCGCAATTTTTTTTTTTAAATCCGCACCCGCAATCCGCAACTCGCAACTGCAAAAAACCCCGCAATTTACGCAATCCGCAACTCGCAATCCGCAATTGCGTGCACCCCTGGTCTGAACTCGGTTGAGGTTGTTACTCAAATATGTATACCCTCACTCTTTTTTGTGATAAAATAAAAATTTATTTAAATAAAAGGTATAATATTAGACATATCTTTTGTGCTAATTTTACAATTATTATTTCCATTGTTATTATTTTTGTCTGTATCTGAATAAGCTGTCTTTGTTGTTTCTTTCTTTTTCTCCCCCATTTTCTTTTTATTATTCCTCTTTTCCTTTGAATTTTGAGAATTTGAAGATGTTGAATGTAATGATCGATGTAATTGTCCATTTGAATATGTTGATAAAGATAAAATTGGAGCTAGTTCTTCGCGTCTTTGAATTAACCCAATTCCATTACTTGTAGGTGGTCGTAATGATAAACGTTTCAGTTCATCAGCATCTACCCACGAGGGAAAATCGCCGTCTCTTTGAAAGAGTGGAATGAGTTCGGGTGGCCAAATTCCTTCCTTTGAAAAATACAAATTTAATTTGGGAGATTTGGTAAAAATAAATGTGGAGTTGATCTAAGCAATTGGAAGGGAACTAAGGGAAAAAGTCGGGATCAATTGGTATGTTTTTAAAACGATCCAATTACTGGGCATTCATATTGTTGTCATAATGATAAGTGTTATCTCTTGATACATTAAAAATGTCAGAAATAAGGACTGTGTACAAGACATGTATATAGGCTCACGCTTTTTCACAGCAAATCATAATTAGCCTAGAGATCAGAGACTTGATCAAAATTTTTTGATCACTTGATCAAAAAGACATTATTAATCTCCTCAAATATCAAATAATCTGATTCAAGTTTGGATTTTGACATTTATTTATCACTCTACTAGATGCACTTCTGTTCCATATCCAGCTTTATCAAACCAGAACATACCAAAAACATATAATTCTGTCCAACTTTATCAAGTTGTCCTTCCTTTACAGCAATAGCATCACCCACCATTCTATTCATATCAACCTTTTCCATCGATTCTGGACTCATTCCAATAGCTTGGCCAACCGCGCTAATTAAATCCTTTACTGTTACTCTTAAAAAAATTTTTTTTGTAAAATTTTTTGGTTTTATTTAAATTACGTTTTTGAGCCATAAAAGAAACTTGTATGAGCGATACTGGTTGCTTGTTTGCCCAAATAGTAAAGACTTCGGACATAATTAGAGCCGACATCTTAAAGGATTATTTTAATTTATTCAACTCACCTTAATAAACGCTTATTTAAAAGAGATACTTAGATGGAACCTTTCTAGCTAAAGCCTGCTTCCAAATTTATTTAAAAAACTTGGAGTCACATTATATGTAGGTGTTACACGATTCAGATTCAAGGGGTCTCGAAAAATAAAAACATCTACTTAAGTGGATGACTTAGGAGTGAATTCCAAACAAAAATGTGCTCCACAACTTTAAGAATAATTTTCTTATAACTCACCTAAAGCAATTGTTGACAAAACTAATCCAATACACATATAAAGGAGAACAATAGGAATTAATGAATTACTTTAAAAAATTTTTTAAAAATGTAAAGTTTAAAAAATAAGAAACTTTTCTGGTATTAAATGTCCATATTCAATAGCAGTAAAGCAAAGATACGAATAAAATAGGCCGTCAATAAATTGAAAGCATCCTTGGAGTAGAGGAAGTAGAATAGCTCCAGCAGCCTGTAAATTATTTTTCAGGATTTTTTCCACTTAAATTTTCTTTCGATTTTCGATTTCAAAAAGTTAGAGAATTTTTGTGTTTTTGATATTTTTGAAATATTCTCGATTTACGAGCTACAAGTTTCGAAAATTCTTCAGCTTCGAAACAGCTCTTATCACGACATAATATTTGCCTATTTTTGCCACCAACTTGAACCCGGCTCGAGGATCCCTGCTTTCCTCGAACTAAGGATTTAAAAATATATTCAGAAAAATGTTAGGGAATCGGATTGAAAAGTATTATGTTGGGGAAACATTTTCCAGTTATAATGGAAGAAGATCGCTTGACAACAGCTTCAAATTCTCAGATTTTTTATACAATCATAAAATTCTTCCAAACATGCTCCTTCAACCTACCAAATAAGTAAAAACAATAGCCGCTAATGTAAAGGGAGATATTTGTTTAGCCTCATATTCGTTTTCAAGCTCTTCATCTTCATAAAACCAAGGGTTTAAGGATATTGTTTCTTCATCTTCATCTTGTCCCGAATTAATACTTGACTCCTTTCTTTTACATCCAAAAAGTTTAATAAGCATTTCACCTCTTTAGAAGAACAAAAATTTTATTTAATGAAAGAATACTTTACTTGAGGAAGCGTCCCAATCCTTCGAAAATTCTATTCCGTTGCTTTCTCTGACAATAATTTTTTCTTAGATATCTCTCCATTCGACGCATGTAAAGACCCAAGTTGGTCAGAATTATTACCTCAAAATTTATTTGATATTAATTTTAATATTTATTCCATTAAACGCCCGTCTTCAATTTTTGGACATTAAGAAGACCCATGATATGTAAAAAATAATAATGTCAGATGAGATAAGCTGACAGTCTAATAGCTGACAATCGCTGAAGTCTAATTCCTATTTCAAATTTATACGGTTTTGCCCCTCTCCAATAACCTAATAACATGTTTCTTTGATAAATGCAATCTTCTCATCTATTTGTAAAGTCAAAACTCAAAATCTGATAGTTCCCCAGACCCCAGAAAATTTTATAATAGCTCTAGAAGGGTGATTAACTCATAGTCAAATAAAAAACTAACAGTGAATGGAACACCGAAAAAGCCCCAAACAACAGTAAATAGTTGTGCCTGAATAGTCTCTGGTTCAATTTTTCCATAACCTAAAAAAATTTTTTAAATCCTTCCAAAAATTTTATTTTATTTATTTTCCTTCACAAGTGTGAAAATAAACACATTTTTCATTTTTTAATTTTAAAATACCCTCAGGCAATTTATCATAAATTATATTCATAACTGCCTATAGAGAGGCTTTCTCGATCACTTATAGACATAAATCAAAATGACGGTTTTACAAAGAAAAATTTGAAAGGAAAAAAGGATAAAAAGCTTGTCATGCTCAATATTACTTGAAATATAATATTTTTTAATTTTAAAAAAAAAAACAGTTGGTGTTTGAAAAGAAAAAAAATATTTTGGGCAAAAGAACACCCAAAAATCTCTCATTTATGTTGCTTCAACAAAAAGTCATAAATTGCAATGTAATGAGAATAAAAATAAAAAGTGACGGGCCTTTGTCATCTGCCCGAACAGAAGGCATTTTAGCTTAAATGAAATGCTTTTGGGATAAAATATTTGAAGAAAAAAATTTTTTTTGAGAAACGTGATCTTCAACTAGAAGATTTTTAATTAATCGATAATTTTTTTAGTGATTTTATATTTTCTTTTAAACTTTCGATCTGTGTAAATTTGTTGCATGTTATTTTTATTTTATGAGAGAAATGAAGGAAATTTTATCCAATCTTCTTTACCTATTTTAATATTCATCATATTAAAAGTTGTCTAAATCCTAAAATAGCCCAGTGATAAGCTTACAACTTGTCTTTTTAAATACTTTAGCTTAGAGATAGATAAAATCGCAATCGCGGATCACTTACGGGTTTTGATCAGAAAATTAGAACAGTGCGAAATCTCGCAGGAGATCTCGCCTAAGCTTAAAGATTGAAAAAAGGATTTTAAAATTTTGTTATCCCCAACATCCCGTATCCTCAAATAAATTTTCTAAGATTCAGATAATTCTTTTAATATTTTGGTTGTAATTATTATTGACGTTACTACTTTTTGTTGAAAACATTGATCTCCTAATTTTATTATATTCCCAAAAATGCCCATTCTCTTCAGCAAACAACGTGCACAACCACAAACACCCCAATCTACGTCTTCAGGATTTAGACATGGTCCCCCAAGTACAACGTCTTTTGGCTCTGGACATTCTCAACAGTCGCCAAGGGCGAGGTGACTTTGTCAGAAATTTTGTTTTAAATCGAGTTTTTAGGCATAATTTGAGGCCAACCGCTTCAAGCAGTTCAATAGGTGTGATTAGACGGCTCTCAGTTGCGCACACAGGTCTTCGCCGGAGGGCGAGCCAAAGGGCCAGAAAATCCATTCAGAGATTGAGAGGGAGAGGGGATACTGTGAGACGTTTTTTGAGGGTATGTTTTGAAGGAAAAATATTTCCTTAATTAAATTAAAGAAAATCATTGAAAAATCATCAAATAAAAATAAAAAATTCAAAATTTCCCTCACATAGGACCCAAAATTAATTGGCCAAATAGCAAAAGACATTTATCAAAAATGGCACATAAAGCACTTGATACCCTTATTTTTTGTATTGGTTTATATGATAATTGGTGCATTTCTCTTTTTATGGCTAGAGGAGGCTGCAGAAAAAGAGAGAATTGCTAAAAGGTTTGCAAGAATTAAAAAAAATTCTTGAAGAAATTTTTAAAGAAATTTGGAATATGAGAAAGAAAGGCGCCTTTTTATTAAAAGAATGGAAGAAATTTTGTTGGATAGAAGTTCTCGAGGAGATATACTAAAAAGGAGAGAACAAGTGGAAGAGGCAGTTGATCACTTAAGGATAACACTTTCAATTGATCCGTTGCCTAGATTGCCTGAATGGTCTTTTACTAATTCTATGTCTGTTTTTTAATTGAATAATTAACGTTTTAGAGTTAAAAGTATCAATGAGATTTTAGGAAAATAAAAGGATAATAAAAAAGAGTTACTCATCGAGGCTGCCCGCAACTGCAGATTGCGTAAATTAGGAGGTTTTTGCATTTGCGAGTTTTTAAACTGAAAACTTTTTCTCGATTTCAGACAGTCCTGGTTCAGGTCAAAGACTAGGTATATTTGTTCTCAAATCCCATTTTCCAGAATATAGTTCTTCCAAATCTTATCAGATTGTGTTGGAATTATAAAATTAATCTTTTCAGGTATTTTGCTGGTACAATATTCACAACAATAGGATATGGAGATATTGCTTGTGAAACATTTTATGGTCGTCTAGCAACAGTGATCTACGCTATTTTTGGTTAAAATATTTATTTTACAAAATTCGGGAATGGTCTACTATTTATTATAGAATTAAAACGAGAGGATGAATAAGGAGAAATGATTAACCAATTTTTTAAAAAAAATAAGATCTTGAGCATTTTTATTTATTTTTGGAAAAAGGCCCATAATTTAAAATAGAACACTAATAATTTTAATTGATAAAAATATCGGTTCATAAAAACTCCCTTTTGTTAATATAGAAAGCTATTTTTGTGAGGTAACCCTTCATAGGCAAAGTTTGGTAACAATGAACTGCCTGGTTTACAAAGGGATATTAAAGTAGTTTCCAATGAATTTTCCATAAAATTTCATAAAATTTAGAAAAACTTTTAGGCATTCCATTAATGTTAATTACTCTAAATGAATTGGGCAAATTTCTCTACAAATCAATCAACGAATTATTTGCCATGTTTAATAAAATATGGGCAAAATTACGGAAACGTTTGGGATTAAAAACTAAAGGAAAAGATGAAGCAATGAATAATGATGTGGAAAAGGGGTTGAGGAATGGAGATAATAGCAGGCAGCAGATACAATTTAAAACAAGCGAGGAACAGGCAAAAGCCGTCAGCTTTCATCTGTACGTTAATAATCTAAATATTTTGTCAGAATAAAAATCAGAAATAAAATAAAGATAAGGGAAAATAGAGATCAGAATCTAAAAGAAAATAAAGAATAAAATCAGAAAATAGAAAAAATAACTAAAAATCAGAAATAAAATTCAGAATTAAACATCAGAATTAAAAATGGAAAATAAACCCATCAGAAAATATATGTATCAGAAAATAAATAATAAAATCAGAAAAACAAAAAAAAATAAAATCAGAATTAAATTTAAATTAGGCAATCAGAATAAAAACCAGAAAAACATAAAATCAGAAAATCAGGATATCAGAAAAGTATATATAAAATCAGAAAAATAAATTCAGAAAATCTAAAACGGAATCAGAAAAAATCAGAAATTCTCCACAATTAAAAATCAGAATTAAATTTAAATTAGGTAATCAAAATAAAAACCAGAGAAAAGCAGGATATCAGAAAAACATAAAATCAAAAAAAAATAAATTCAGAATATCCAAAACAGAATTAGAAAAAAGTCAGAATTTCCCTGAATAAAAAATCAGAATTTAAAAAATAAATAATATAAAATCAGAATTTCTAATAATTTTAGAAATGCTGAGGGTGAAGAAGAAAAATCTACAACAGACGATCTTTCTCTAAAAATGGAAGTAAACGAAAGTGACAATAATTGTGAAGAAAATACTGGCCAAAAATTTTCTTTGCCAACATTAAAAGAAGAAAATACGTTAACAGAAAGTGAAGAATTAGTAAAAGAAGTAAAAGAAGGGAGTGAAGTAGATGGGGATGAGGGTGGGGGTGCTAGTGTAGATTGGGAAGATGAAGAGGAAGAAAGACAGGAAGAAGTAACTGAAGCCCCAAGAATGCCTGTAATTGTGGCAGTTACTTGTACTTTTGCTTGGATATTTTTGTGTGCTGGATTATTTAGATTATGGGAGGTAAATAAATTATTAAATCTGAAAGGACAGGCGATAAATTATAACCAGAATTAATATAATCAGAATTTTTAGGCTAATAATATTCTTATTCCTCCTCTCTCTCCTCCTCTAGTATCCTCCTCTAGTATCTCTCTCCAACAAATCCACTATTTTTAAATTTCCTCTTAAAAACGTGTGAAGGATTCTATATTTTTTGATTAATGCCCTTTCATTCTGTTGATTTGATCCTTTGTCAGATCAAATCAAAACTCCAAAAAGAAAATTATTAAAATGTAGTGATCCTCGGAGATTGGATTTTAGTTTTCACACATTCGAGACCAGTTTCATGCTCCCTTGTGGCTAGGTTTTCTACATATTTATCTTTGAAGATTGATTTTAAGACAAATTTTAATAAATAATTTAAATTTTAGCATCAATGGACATACGGAGACTCCCTCTATTTTATGTTCATTTCTTTGTTAACGGTTGGCCTAGGGGATGTTAATGTTCAAAGAAGAGATTTGGTTTGTCCCTAAAACATGTAAAAACCTTCAAAAAAATTTTTAGATGGTCCTCTGCTTTATTTTTGTCATTATCGGCCTCTCCCTCGTTTCAATGTGCATAAATGTCATTCAAAACTCCTTGGAAGACCTCTACCGAAAATTATTACTAAAAATCTTGTCAGATTATCAAGCAGCTTTAACAAAAGATGGAAGTCATAAAACTGCCTCAATGGGTGTAATAAAGACTTTAAGCCTTAACAAAACGGCAAAATATTTAATGCCAATGTTGAGTGACACAACAAAACGTTCTGTAATGCAGAAAGTGCAGGAAGAGGCTAGAGAGACGGGAATGGAAATTCCTCCAATTTTTGAACATTTTGAGGAAATTAACCAAATAATTAACAAAAAAGAGTTGGCAAATGATGAAGAAATACAATCAACAATTGTTGATCAAATATTGAGACCAAATTTACAAAGTGCACATTCCAGTTTGTTATGTGGAAGATCTGCAAGCTTTACTTCAAGGGATAGAAATACACAAACAGAAATAAAGAAAAAGTAAGTAGAGACTTTCTAAGGGAAAGAGAAAATTAAGAAATTAAAAAAAATATTTTTGGGACAACAATCAAAAAGAAAATATTTTTAAAAAATAGTTGAGGGCAAACTCATAACTGCAGATTATTTTTTTCCTCATCCTCCTCGATAGGGATGACCAAAATTACCTTACCATCATCCAACATCATAATAATTATTACAAATTTTCTCCAAAATCGTTCATTGGATTAATCCAAATAATTTAAGGGAAAACAAAAATGACCAAACTATACGTGTTGAACATGAAGATATGGCTAGTCAAACAGAAATATCTTTTAAGCTGGAAAGAATGGGTGTTGAAAAGGAACAACAAACAGAAAGGTGTGGATCAACGGATGAAGGAATACAAACATGTAGTATCGAACAACGTGATGCAGAATCTATGACTACACCAAGTACAAGCATGGTAAAGAGTTTGGCCTATAAATGTCACAAGAAATTTGAAAATGTTTTCTAAGAAGACCGTCCCTATTTTTCGAAGAATTGGTTTTTCTTGGACTGGGGACTTTCGGATTTGACGATCTCTTTAACTAAAAATATTTTTTACCTAAAATATTTTTTCTCAGAGTGTAGACATCCAAACAGACAGTGTTTTATGTGTCGATGAAGATGTCCAAACATTTGAACTGCTTGAACTTGCTGATCAAGAAGTTCAAACTGATGAGAAGCCAACAAAAAATCAAAGGATACAAACACCTCTTCCTGTTTTAGTTGATGCAGAAGCACAAAGTGAAGAGGTGAGGAGAAGCCATGAAATTATTTAGGATAGATTAACTCAAACTCTGATTTAACCCTAAATTTAACCCTAAACCCGGCATGCCATCCCTGTTAAGCTTAAACCATCAACTTTCAAAGTCAAGGATGATATCATAAATTATCAATCACTAAAGGGAATATTTATCATAAAGGAACTCAAATAGAAAGTTTTCAGATAAACAAAGATTTGGAAAAAATTCATGGTTCAAGACTTCATGCGGCTAGAAGAAGATTGCGCCAAGCATTTCACCGTTCAAAAGCTAGAGGAATTGAAGATCCAACAATGCTGGGATGGCAAGAATTTGATGAAGTTTGACATAAATATTTTAGATAATAGAAAAATAATTATTATAGAATAATTCATCAGATGAAGGCTCTTTAGATTGGGACCCTATTGATGGAATGCATGCAGAAAAGCAGGTAAAATTTAAAATAGGTTCAAGAGTCACCGTGTTACCTACCAGGGAACGCGCCGACGGAAAATCAAATTCCCGATTTTCGGGAATCGTGAATTCCCAAAAATTTCGAATTCGGGTCGGCGTTACCTACTCGATTACTCCTCCCAAGGAATTGTTTTTAATTTTCCCTAGGATTGGGGAATTTTATTCGGCTGTGGGGAATTGAGTTAAATATTAAATATTGAGATTAAAAAAGTAAGGTATGAGGGGAAGTAGAATTAGGAATATACATACATGGATTTAGTTATCCAATGTAATAAATCATAAAATAAAAAAAATTCTATTTTAGAAGCCTGTCAGTCAATTAAAAAAGATTTTCGATGAAAGCGAAGCAGGTACTTCAACAAATTCAAGGCAGGGTTCTTTAATGAAAAGGGATAGCCAACAATGAGGGTGATAATTTAATTTTTCTTTTTAATTTTGTTTTTTAGATTTCTTTGTGTATGTATGTATAATTTTTTTATATTTGCCATTAATCTATTTATAAAATTAAATATTCGTTCTTGTAAGCTTAGTTTTTAAACAATTATTTAGCGATGTTTAACTGGGGAAAATGGACTCTCAATTGCTAGATTGAGGATACAACCCGAACGCTCGGGGCGGGTTTGTCGGGGTACGGGGCTTTTGAATTGTTTCGCGGCGGGGTTCGGGGAGATTTTGAAAAAAATTTTTGAGAACGAAGAGGGTCGGAATGCAACTGAAGTTAGAAACCGGCCAAATACCAAGATCAATTCAAATTATTTTAGCCAAAATTTGTTCATGGTTTTGAATTTTTTTTAAATTTCCCCATAAATTTTCAGTTTTTTAATTCGAAACTAAACCCACCCAATGTTGTTAAAATTCCAAATCCATAAAGGAAAGCATTCCGAAAGTTCCAGCTTTGCCTTCTTCTGTCCTCGACTGGGTCGTAAATGCCAATAAGACATTCCTCTGCAATCTTTTTGCTTTTCAACAATTTTGAGTGGTTACTTAAATTGGGAAAAAATCGGAATTTAATATCTGCTTAATATGTATTAATTTAAAAACATTTTTTTAATTCCCACGATAATTACAGATTAATAAATTTAATATTATATTGGTAATTCTTATAAAAGTGAGGGGATATTATGTAAATTTCCAAAAAACAACTTTACATCATTGCCACAATTTTGTTCAATCTTTTATCATTTTATGGATAATTATTAGCTTGTTTTTATACGATTATATCATTCTTTATATTATTTTCATCCCTACGCCCTAGTAGACGCGCGGAGAAAACGGCGTAAAGCCCTAACTTGCTGGGAAATTTTTGACCCTTAATTCGGGCTCTCTCTTTACCTCTCTTTACCCTCGTTTCCCGTCTTATCATTTTAAAAAGGGCTAATTATCATCTCTAATCCATCCCAATTTTCTTTAAATTTAAAATCTTTCCAAATTTAAAAAACCACCTTCGTAAAATAAAATCGATACAATCAAATTTCCTTTCGATCAATTTGTCCCATTCCTCAAGAGATTTTTCACGTTCAAAATAAAGAAATGCAACACCTCCAAAAAGTGAATAAAGAAACAAAAGGAGAAAACAGCTGATATTAGCTAATAATTTTTTCCAAATTGACGAAATGTACATTTTTTAGATTTAATTTTGAAGAAAAATAAATTTAAAAATAGAAAATGAAATTTAAGAAGAAAATAAATTTTTTATAAAATTTTTGGGCTAAAAGTGCCTTTCCTCTTTTAAAGAACAAATTTATAATTCAATTGTTCTCCAAATCCTTTGGGAGAAGCGGCAAGAAGAAGAAAGGATTAAAAATGGCAAGAAAGACATGACTCATTTTTGGCGTTGAAAGAATTTTTGGGTTAAAATTTAACAAAAATGTCACGAAATATAAACATTTAAAAAAAACAATGAAAATACTAATAAAATAATTCGGCTCTATCATGGGACGTACACTGCGGTGCATATGTTTATGCACACTAGTTTTTTGTTCATAAGTTTCTGCACACTTATTCAAAAAATAAGTTTTATATAGCAATCGAAAGCTCTATTTGTATCTCAGTTGGCATGTTTCTGCATTTTTCGAAATTCTGATATTTTCGGAAACTTTTCGACCGGTCTAACAGGTACCACATTTTCAACTTTTCGGAAAAATTTTTTTGAAGTCTGTAAAAAATATATGTGATTCTCCTCTAGATTCTACATAAGATACAAAAAAATCATCCAAATCGGTCAAGATTTACCGAGTTATGAATTTTTGAAAATCGAAAAAACGCGATTTTTTGACGAAAAATGGCAAAAATATGATGTTTTTTCGATTTTCAAAAATTCATAACTCGGTCAAATCTTGACCGATTTGGATGATTTTTTTGTATCTTATGTAGAATCTAGAGGAGAATCACATATATTTTTTACAGACTTCAAAAAAATTTTTCCGAAAAGTTGAAAATGTAGTACCTGTTAGACCGGTCGAAAAGTTTCCGAAAATATCAGAATTTCGAAAAATGCAGAAACATGCCAACTGAGTTACAAATAGAGCTTTCGATTGCTATATAGAACTTATTTTTTGAATAAGTGTGCAGAAACTTATGAACAAAAAACTAGTGGGCATAAACATATGCACCGCAGTGTACGTCCCATGAGCTTTTATGCGTCCCATGAAAGTATATGCGTCCCATCAACTTTTATGCGTCCCATAACAAAAAATTGGATTTTTCTTGGTGTTGCAAAGTTGAGGTATGGTTCCAAAGCATTTTTTCATGTTCGGGACTTACGTCCAGTGGGTCTGGGACCGTTCCTTACCCTATCCCTCGAAATTTCTGAAAGTTATAGTCAATTTTTAAAAATTTCAGAAAAGATTGACGATATGTAAATTTAATAAATTAATTCCGATTTTTGTCAATTCAAGCAGCAGATAGGGACAATTTGCATTACAATATAAAAAGGCTTCAACAAACTACAGAAATTCTTTTATACGGCAAACACAATTTAATATACTGTATACAGAATGAAACCAATACTATACATATACACAAAGATGAACTTTGAGAAATTAGATTTATACTTCATTCATCTTTTCTTTATGCACTTTAGAGATAGACGCGGGCAGGCATCCCTCCATAGTAGGAAACGCCAGTATAGTGACTAGGAAGACCATACGAAGAATGTTGAAAGTAGGCGCTATTACCAGGATTTTCGACCCGACGAGCAGGAGCACGATCCCCATTCAAATTTTGAAAGTTTTCGCCATTAGTACCATGATGAGGAGCGCCATGATAAGGAGGATAGGTAACATGGGGAAGGTAGACGCTATTGTTAACATGCGGAGCACTAGGGTAGCTGACATGAATTTCTAAATACATATTAGATATTAGGTATAATAAATACATAATAGTAAGGGATACCGTTTCCGCGAGAAGTGCTATGATAGCTGACATGAAGATTTTCGCCTGAAGGACGAGCAGGAGCACCATCCATATTCAGATTTTGAAAGTATTCACTGGTATCAGCATTAGAAGTGGTAGGATAGCTGACATGAATATCTAAATAAATGGACACTTATTAGGTACACTAAATATTAGTAGGATACCGTTTCCACTAGAAGCTCCAGTATAGCTGACTTGAAGATTTTCGCGAGGACGGACAGGATGAAAGTAGACGCTAGTATTATCACGAGGAGCACTGGGATAGCTGACTTGAAGATTTTCACGAGGACGAACAGGATGAAAGACGCTATTAACACGAGAAGCACTGGGATATCTGTCTTGAAGATTTTCTCCATAAGCACGAGCAACAGGAAGGTTATTATTGCCATGAGAAGCGCCAGAATATCTGACTTGAAGATTTTCGCCAGGACGAGCAACAGGAAAGTAGGCACTTCTTGGATAGGCATGAACAGCTAAATAAAGTGGAATTGAAAGAATATTCTTCAATGAAAGAAACCTCTACCAGATGGCATTTCAACATATTCTTAAAATAGAGATTTACTATTCAAATTAATAAACCCTTGCTTTACCTCCTGTTCGGGGATCATATACACGACCAAGGTAGACTGAACCGCTGCCACCATATACTTGATTACCGCCAAAATACGCAGACTGCTCCATGGATTTGTGAAAAGATTTGGAGTTAACCGTAGATTGTATTTGCTCGAAAGGATATAATGAGTCAGAAGATCCTTGGCTTTTATATAGCCTATTATATCGAATAACGAGATTTAACTTCATAGCCTGTTTTTAATTTTTATAACTTTCTTTTAAGTTTTAATCCTTCAAGGAAAGTTTTGTTCCATTTACACAGGATTGAGGAATCCATACCTAATGAAAATTATTTTTAAGAAAAATTACCTTAATCACAAAAAAATCTTAAAGAATGATATTAAATGTAATTATGAACTCCCTCTTTCCTCTCTCAAGTTTCATCCACCGCTCTTGCTTGAAATCACGTGAAATCAAAAGAAACAAGTTCAAACCTGCGAAACGCAAGACTAAGGTCAACACAAAACGCAAAACCCCCCAAGGTGCAAATTTGTGCCCACCTCTAATTTTTGTGTCCACCCCTGATTAGAATATACCTATGTACTTCTCAGGATAAGTGAAATTTATTAACGGGAAGAAGAATAAGATTCCGTAAATTTAAAATCTATTCAAGCTCTGTTCAAAAAACCCACATCCTTGCTAATTGCCTAATTAACACCTAATTTTATTTTGAATTAAGGCTTAATTATAATCCTGTAAGCATTTAAAGTAACTCCTAATGATATCAAAATCTTAATTTTTTTTATTATTTTTACTAATGCATTTCCTGTTTTTTAATAAAAAAAACTTCTAGTTGTTGAGTGGTTTTATATCCATCTTTTAATTTTTTACTTAATTTTCTTACTATAGAAGGATTAAAAGATGCCAAACTTGTCAATTTGTTGAAAAAGAGCTTGGCTAAAAGCTTTATTTAATAATTGTTATTGAAAATTTTATTAAAGTTTTTTTTTCTAAAATATACTATACACTTCTCGAGGTTTAATTCACAGCGAGGTTTAGATGTTGGTTAGGAGGAACAGAGCGCTGTACAAAATCTCCTTAAATTTGGAGCTTTTTAATGATAGGTTGAGCAAAAGAGTCGAAATCCGACTGGGAGCAGGCTTAAGTTCCGCAGAGCTATAACTTTTTTCAAAATTGTTGAATCCGGGACGTTGAGGTATGTTTTGATGCATCTCGGGGAGATGAATCGAACCGTACTAGGGCGTTATAGCTTTGCGCTACGTTGGGGTGTACCTATCGGAACTAGCACTAGTGCCATGCTAGGACTGATGATTGAAGCTGCTTAAATTTTAGCGGACTGCTTTGATTTGGCCCAATTCTTGACCTTACAAAATTCCAAAGTGATTATTCCAAAGTATTATAGCCGAAAAAATCACTGAAGTGATTATTTTTTTTCAAGAACATAAAATTAGAATAAATTATTTAGATGGACTGCCATTATAAAGTAACAATCCCTCATTCTCCGATTTTTACTTTATTTTTCTTAATTATTATCTCACTTCCTCCAAATGCTGCCAATATTGTAAAAATTGCCCATTTACAGCCAAATAATCCAGCAATTGTACATGAACCTCAGGTTTTGAAAATGTGTTCAAACAACTTGAAGGAACGGAAAATTCTTCCGGATGTTATTAGTTTTGAGTAAAGAAAGGATATTTTTTGGACATTAAAAATGTTTTTCTAGTGTATTTACAATGGAATCATGTAACCGTTATAGTGGAGTGGAACACGCCGCCTACCTTCATTATGTCCGAAATGCTAGTGTTTATTTTGGTCCGGGATGCAATAACGGTGTGTTTTATAGTTTTGTTAGGATGTTTTTAGATTACATAAAACGGAGTTTACATACGTTCAAATCTTTGATTTTAATTTATGTGATTGTGAATCTACCACCGCTTAGCAGAGATAATAAATAAAGGTCTAACAAATATGTAAGTGAGCAAAAGCTAGTTGCAATAACTATTCTGCCGTTGCCTAATTACTGCCAAAAATACTTTATCTCAAAATTGACCCAAAATTTATCAAGGTTTTAAATCAGTCTCGCTTACCTTGATTTACATTTTATCATTTGAAAATTTTTTTCATTATATTTTTAAATCAATCATTACAGAAATTTTGGTTATTGGCAGACTTGTCTCTCGTTGGAATGGTTATTTTTTATCTAAATAGATTCACAATTTAAATTTTAAAGTTCCAATCGTTGCTCACATGTCTGGAGACGATGCACTTTCTGATAGAAGCGGTGTTTTTAATAGAAGATTTTTTACAATAAAAAATTTTCTCTAGTTTTTGACACTTTAAGTTCTGTAGCTCTCACTTCAGCAACAGAAATGGCTCGTGCTACACTTACTTTTCTTCAACTTTATGGATGGAAACAAGTAAATGAGACATTTAAATAATTATTTAAAATTACTAAATAGGTTGGTCTAGTTCGTTCAAATGTCAACTTTGACCGTTTATCTCTACATTCCCTCAAAAATTATTTGAAAGATGCCCAGATTGATATCAACATTGAAATTGAATTGGACCCTTATATGACTCCAGACGAGATTATTGCTACAGGGAGACTTAAATTGCTTAGAAATAGAGCTAGAAGTAAGACGGAAAATTTAGATTTTATATGGCCAAAGAAAAAAACTTCATTTTTTGATGATAGGATAAATAATAGACCCCTAGTTTAGTCCCAAATTCTTTCTAAGTTTAAAGGGCTGGATAACAATTTTTAATTTAATTTTGTAAATGTGATCTTTACTAAATTAATTTTTAAAATTTAGTTATTATTGTTGAAATGGGCCTCGATTTACACACTAACCGTGCTTTTATGGTTGCGATCCATCGTACACAATTAAAGACAAATGGTCTGGAATTTTTTAAATTAATTAATCCCATTCAAATTACAGAATTTGTCTATATAATCCCTTGGCTAGCACATGTAAGATTTTGGTATTTTTCCCAAAATTTTTTCCAAAACAGATGCATGATCACTACCCTTGGGAAGCTAGCAACATTGACAAACTCGAAACAAAAATGGCTTTTGATGATACTATAGTCATTACTGTATGCTAAAATCCCCCTTCTCTCTTTAATTAAATTTTTAAAAAGGCCCATGGCTACGATAAAAAGTTCATTGAAGATTTTGAATTAAAATTTTCTAAAGTGACTGGGGTAATTAGCAGTCATGTAAGTTTGGAAAAAACTTTTATGATTGAAAATTAATTTTAGTATGCTACACTTTCTTATATGTCACTTTATGATGCTTTATATTTGGTAAGTGAATTGAAAAATAGGAGATATGAAATTAAGTCAATAAGGGTTTAATAATCTGATTTTTAGCAAAATTATTATTTTTGATAATAATTTATTTCAAATAAATTAGACCAAAAAATACATAAGTCTGGGATTTTTATTTTTGGAATTTGCTAAATACTTGATAGGCTGGAGACTGGTTTCATAAAATAGAGGGTATTCTATGTATTATTCTCCATTTCCATCGTCAATTCCTGTCACTTGCTTGCCAGAAAAATTTGGCATATGTCAAGCCAGTTCTGCTGATTGAAAGCAGCTTTTTCCCGAAACTGGGTTTTTCAAGAAATTCTAAAAAATGTTGGATATTCGAATATAACCTGGGATGATCTTAGGCTTCTTACTTTTAACAAAAATTGGATCGGAATTTTTAGAAATAATTTTTTAAGTATGGATTAGCTCTTCGAGATGCTTATGATGAAACAAAAAATGACAGTATTTATGTAGACGGATCTTTTATTTGGAAGAAAATGACTGCGCGTCAATTTCTTGGTTTTTCACTTAATTCACCAGAAATTTATCTTAAATAAAGGCTCGACTGGCCAAGTTTTAATGAACAATAAAGCTGTTAGGGTGCCAAGTTATGCTACTTATTTAACAAAAAATGGGACAATGCGTATTGTTGTTGAACTAGAAGCTAGATTAGGGGATAAATTGAAATGTGCAGTGTCTGACAATGATTGTTCTGAACATGTGGGTTTTTGGGGGTGAAATATTACTTTAAATTTTTCTTAATTTTAAAGGTGGCCCATGAGGTTAATAGCAACTTTTGGCATAGCTATGATGGGCATTTACCTACTGATATGCCAAAATGTGGTTTTGATGGAAGTATCTGTGATTATACGATGCTTTATGTTGCCATTGGAATTGTGCTCTTCTTCCTTAGTATGTCGAATGTGATAAGATCTACTAGATAGTTAGACACTTAACCCGATATCTCTTTGCATACTGTTGGTTCATTCATTTGTGACTGGACCTGTGCCAATTCTACTAGGAAAACAAGAGAGATTAATTAGGTTTACGTGGATTAGGGATGCCTCTGGTTGAGACAAAAAATGTCTGGTCAAATTTTCAAAATTTCCTTCAAATCGTGGTTTGAATCGAAAAAAGCCAAGATCTATGACTGGACCTGGGGAATTACTGATTCGGATACATTTTGGTAATATTCTCTTCTAAATATTTTTTGTGTCGGATTTCATATTGAATAAATTTTACAAGCAAAGTCGCATTAAATATTAGTAAAGACATATTAAAAATTTTCACAACTTGGTTTTTCAGTTACAATTCCAATTGGCTATCTTCTCTACATCAAAGAGTAAAAAAACAAAAATTAACAAAAAAAATTTGTTCTATTTTTCAGAAAAGAACGAATGCTTTATGATATGACCTGGCGTATACCGAGAGAGCAAATTCGACTCTTGGAAGCTCGTGCTAGGACGAGCGTTTGTTTATTTATTTTTAATTTTTAGAAATAAAATTTAGAGAAGTGGAGGTTCGAAATCTTTTACAAGTGATTCTTTTACTGGAAGCGTTGAAACTGAAGTGGCAAATAGCCGTCTTAGTGCAAAACAGGCAAATGCTAATGGAGTGCGCTGTGCCTATAAAAGATTTAGACAAACAAGGAATATTAGTTTTAGTAAGGAGGAATTGTCACGTCTTAAAGAGGTAGAGATTGGATAGATCAGTAGAAGGGTCAAAAGATCCCCATAAAATTAGACTGAAATATGAGTTGACGGATCTTGATATTCGAAATTTTTGAGGATTCGCTAACGCGGATAAAATAAAGAGAGGAGGAGCTAAAGGAGCCCGATAGAGGAGGGCAGGAAATTTTTCCTTTCCCGACTAAAGGAGCCCAACGCGAACCCTCCTCCCTGAGTGAACTCCAATATGCCTTTTGATAAAAATAATAAGAATAAAAAATTCAAATTAAGTTGAAAATGATTGAATTTGAAAATTTAAATAAATTTTATGGAATATCCTTCAATCAACAAAACGAACTAATAATTCTATGGATTCTCTGTCAGAGAGGAAGCTTAGAGGTTAAAAAGATTAATCTTCTCTTTAATAAACTAGCTGCAGGATAAATAGCTGAATGGGTTTGATAGCTTTAAAATTTAGTTACGTCGGGGAAGAGTTTATTTATAATTGGAGGCGCGTCCATGGACGCGCCTTGAAAGCCTGCGGCTTTAAAACTGTGCTAGGTTTATTGTTTGCTTGGAGATTTACGTTAAATGTTTTATAGTTTATTTAGAAATTTTTTGAAATAAGAAGGGCACCCTTCCTTTTAGAAAAATCGGTCCCTTCTTTAGATGGGAGGTGCTTCGTTCCATTTTTTAAATGGGCATCGCGTCGGGCGTACAATTTGGCGCACTTCGTACAATTTGACGCACTTCGGGCCTTCGGCCCTCGTCCCCCCCCCCTCCCCGCTTCCCCACCGTTGGGACCCATTTGTACAATTTGGCGCACTTCGGGCCTTCGGCCCTCGTCCCCCCCCCCCTCCCCGCTTCCCCACCGTTGGGACCCATTTGTACAATTTGGCGCACTTCGGGCCTTCGGCCCTCGTCCCCCCCCCTTCCCCACCGTTGGGACCCATTTTTCCAATTTGGCGCACTTCGGGCCTTCGGCCCTCGTCCCCCCCCCTTCCCCACCGTTGGGACCCATTTTTACAATTTGACGCACTTCGGGCCTTCGGCCCTCGTCCCCCCCCCTTCCCCACCGTTGGGACCCATTTTTACAATTTGACGCACTTCGGGCCTTCGGCCCTCGTCCCCCCCCCCCTCCCCGCTTCCCCACCGTTGGGACCCATTTGTACAATTTGGCGCACTTCGGGCCTTCGGCCCTCGTCCCCCCCCCCCTTCCCCACCGTTGGGACCCATTTTTCCAATTTGGCGCACTTCGGGCCTTCGGCCCTCGTCCCCCCCCCCTTCCCCACCGTTGGGACCCATTTTTACAATTTGACGCACTTCGGGCCTTCGGCCCTCGTCCCCCCCTTCCCCACCGTTGGGACCCATTTTTACAATTTGGCGCACTTCGGGCCTTCGGCCCTCGTCCCCCCCTTCCCCACCGTTGGGACCCATTTTTCCAATTTGGCGCACTTCGGGCCTTCGGCCCTCGTCCCCCCCCCCTTCCCCACCGTTGGGACCCATTTGTACAATTTGGCGCACTTCGGGCCTTCGGCCCTCGTCCCCCCCCCCCCTTCCCCACCGTTGGGACCCATTTTTCCAATTTGGCGCACTTCGGGCCTTCGGCCCTCGTCCCCCCCCCCTTCCCCACCGTTGGGACCCATTTTTACAATTTGACGCACTTCGGGCCTTCGGCCCTCGTCCCCCCCTTCCCCACCGTTGGGACCCATTTTTACAATTTGGCGCACTTCGGGCCTTCGGCCCTCGTCCCCCCCCCCTTCCCCACCGTTGGGACCCATTTTTCCAATTTGGCGCACTTCGGGCCTTCGGCCCTCGTCCCCCCCCCCTTCCCCACCGTTGGGACCCATTTTTACATTTGGCACACTTCGGGCCTTCGGCCCTCGTCCCCCCCCCTTCCCCACCGTTGGGACCCATTTTTCCAATTTGACGCACTTCGGGCCTTCGGCCCTCGTCCCCCCCCCCCTTCCCCACCGTTGGGACCCATTTTTACAATTTGACGCACTTCGGGCCTTCGGCCCTCGTCCCCCCCCCCCTTCCCCACCGTTGGGACCCATTTTTACAATTTGACGCACTTCGGGCCTTCGGCCCTCGTCCCCCCCCCCTTCCCCACCGTTGGGACCCATTTTTACAATTTGGCGCACTTCGGGCCTTCGGCCCTCGTCCCCCCCTTTCCCCACCGTTGGGACCCATTTTTACAATTTGACGCACTTCGGGCCTTCGGCCCTCGTCCCCCCCTTCCCCACCGTTGGGACCCATTTTTCCAATTTGGCGCACTTCGGGCCTTCGGCCCTCGTCCCCCCCCCTTCCCCACCGTTGGGACCCATTTTTACATTTGGCACACTTCGGGCCTTCGGCCCTCGCCCCCCCCCCTTCCCCACCGTTGGGACCCATTTTTCCAATTTGACGCACTTCGGGCCTTCGGCCCTCGTCCCCCCCTGATCCCCGCTTCCCCACCGTTGGGACCCATTTGTACAATTTGGCGCACTTCGGGCCTTCGGCCCTCGTCCCCCCCCCCCTCCCCCACCGTTGGAACACATTTTTTCAATTTGGCGCACTTCGGACCTTCGGCCCTCGCCCCCCCCCCCCTTCCCCACCGTTGGGACCCATTTTTACAATTTGACGCACTTCGGGCCTTCGGCCCTCGTCCCCCCCCCCCTTCCCCACCGTTGGGACCCATTTTTACAATTTGACGCACTTCGGGCCTTCGGCCCTCGTCCCCCCCCCCTTCCCCACCGTTGGGACCCATTTTTACAATTTGGCGCACTTCGGGCCTTCGGCCCTCGTCCCCCCCTGCTCCACCGTTGGGACCCATTAAGCAACTTTGGATCACTTCGGCCTTCTGCCATCGTCCCCCACCATTTGGACCCATTAAGCCACTCTCCGGCCGTTTCAGTGCCACATTCAAGCGTGGCACCAAAATGGGCATGCTCGTTGAACTCCCCAAGGTCGGTTAACTACTATCCCGCGGGTCTAATTTCAATCCCACATACCGTTCCATGAACCGGCCGTTTCAGTGCCACACTTAAGTGTGGCACCAAAAAGACCTTCCCCATTGAACTCCCCATGGTCGATTACATACCATCCCACCGGTTTTATTTCAGTCCCATTTGTCGTTTTCCAGTTATAGAAATACGACAAAATATCACACCCCCTTATGCGACAAAATGCCACCATTTAAAAAGGGTTACAACGGCATATCGTATCCTAGAGTTAGAATTTTTTCGAAATTTTTTTTTTATTTGACATCTACAAAATGCGGGGCATCCGCCTCTAAGCGGAAGTTTTCCGCTATCTCTTCCGGTTCACAAGATAGCCCGGTCCCAGGGGTCGTTTTGGCGCGAAGGCGCCGGCGTAGGGAAAAATCAATAATTATTTCGGATGCGCCTGGTAAAGTACCTGGGACAATGTGAAATTTTCAGGAACCTTCAGGCAAAACTGTGACCTCTAGAGTTTTTTAAACGAAACTCAAAACTTCTTTATATATATATAATTAAATTAATTTAGGACATGTTATTTAATGAAGAATTAAAAATTAGTCGGAATTTTCAAGTTTCGTTTGCCAAAGATGTTATTAAGGTAAAGAATTGTGAAAAATTAATTTGAGAATTGCGGAAATTGTTAATTTAAAAAAAGTCATTAGATAGCACATTCAAAATACATATTGGTTATCTATTTATGCCTGTAGCTTATCCAAAATATATGTTGGAATAATAAAATTTAGATTAAAAACTGCATGAGTTCCCCAATTACTCTCGAGTATTATCAAAAAAAAATAATACTCGAAAACTAGACTCGAGTATTATCACTAGGATTGAGGTTTTCGAGTCGGGGCGACGTTCTATGTAGTCATTTTTTCGGGCCGGCACGGCCCGACCGAGACTTTTTCGGGCCAAAATTGAATGCCCTACTGATCGGGCCCCAACATTAAGTATCACTACTCATCCCCAAAATTGATAATTCATATTTTAGTTGAGTAGTTTTTCCTAGGATTGTTTTAGTTTTCCAAGAACATTATCCCTTTATTTAATTAAATCCTCCCTAATATCCAACTAATCTAATTTTTAGGGTCTCTTTTTTATCCACACATCAACTTTAAAATATCACGGCTTTCTTTGTCTACAAAATTGTCTCGTAGATTCTAATTGGAATGTTAAATTAACTAATTTTGTGACAGAACAAATAATTGGAGAGAAACTTCGACATAATGAATTAAAATATATGACAGAATCTGTAATAAGGGCACAGAAAAAACAAATGCATAAAAAGGACCAAAAAGCGGATGAAAGGGAAGAGAAGGAACGGATAAAGAAAAGAAAGGATGTTGAAAATGAAAAACGAGAAAGAGTGGGGATTTTGGGAATTTGCCTTAATTAAAGTTAATTTAAGGAACGTGAACGACGGAAGAAGGACAAGAAGGACAGTGGAGATCAAGTAACTTCTATGTTATAAGAATGGGAGTATCGATGTTTGCATATACGCATCGATATGTACAAAAGTCCGAAATATGCAAAAATATGCATTAAAACCGGGTCTTAACTACCAAATTTGAGCTTATTTCTTCATAGAATATTCACATACATGAAGGCCCTAGTAATAACATTTTAAATATTTTTAAATTAAAGGACAGTACCGAAGACAGTCGTACAATTTCTGATGAAGAATTGGAGCAATCCAAAAAAATTTATGAAAAATCACATTTGAAAAGTATTGAAATTTAATTCATTATTAGTGAAAGATGGGATGTATTAACTTGGGGGTATCTCCTACACACAAAAATGCGTCGGGTTGAGAATACTTCTCGGGTCGGGTTCGTGTCGAAACAAGTATCAAGTTTCGGTTAAAGTTAAGGAACCCCCTTCCTTCTCCACATAGTGGCCAACCAATTTTAAAAATTATATATCTTAAAGTGAGATTTGAAATATCTAATAGTGAGGTCAGAATGTATTTTTAAAAATATTTATTTAAGAATATATCCAACAAGCACCAGAAATTATCAGAGAATTTATTTCTTCGAAACATTTACCTCAAGGCTCCCCAGCTTCTGATATGTATAGTCTTGGAATGGTTTTGTATCAAATTCTGTTTAAATTGGAACCCTTCTATGAGAGAAATATGCAACCCAAAAGTGGGATAATATTAAGGACAAAAAATAAATTTAATAATTTTTAGAAATTATGGAAAGAATTTCTCTTTCAAGTGAAAATGATCAAATTATACGTCCTACATTCCCCAATCAACGAAATATAAGTAATGAAGAGGGATATAATCTTCAGTTGCTTTCGGTATTTAAAATCAGATTTTTTAAGGATGATTTTTGAATCTTTTACCGAATTTTCACGATAAATTTTCCCATCCAGAAATAGAGTTAAACAATAGTTAATCTGGTCTATTAATTGAGAAATGTACAATAAATTGAATAAATTGCCTACTCTCACTTTTCCTAAAGGGAAAAAATGAGGGTATTCCGGAGCCTAGAACTCTGATTTCAAGACCTATGTTGGAGCCTTAAAAACGACTTCCATGTCTTTAAATTCTTGTGAATCAAAAACTAGAGTCAGAAATAATGATTAATATCCCGATACTATATAATTCAAAGCAAAAAACTTTTTTAAAGGCAATAGAAGCCTGTTGGCTTGAATTACCAGAAATGCGTCCAAATATCAAAAGAATGAAAACAATGGTTAATTCGAACTTGAAATCAACGGGGAGCGGGTCTTTAGTCGACCAAATGATGAAAATGATGGAAGAATATACAACAAATTTGGAACAATTAGTTAAGGAAAGAACTCAACAATTGGAAGAAGCACAACAACAAGCTGATCGTCTTCTTAAAAATATGCTTCCAACGTTAGAATCTTTATAAAAATTCGCCTCAAAATTCTGCAAGCTCTAGAATTACTCTGATATCCTACCTAGGGTTGCCGTTTTCGATTCCGTTTTTTCGAGCTTGATTTTTTTGGATTCGGTTTGTTTTCGAGCTTTTCGAGCTGAAAAGCCTCGGCTCGCCTGATCTTTCGAGTTTCGGTTCGAGCAAGCTGGCAACCCTAATCCTAACAAAAATTTCCTGATATCTCTTCAAATACTAAATAAAAATATAAGCTATTCAACTAGAAAAATCTCATCCAATTATTCAACTCATTTCGGATATCCCCAAATCTGTCACCTTAATCATTTGTTGATCGATCCTCAACAAGTCAGTGAGAACTTTTTCGATAATGAAAATGTCTGGGAATGAACTGCCGGAGATCTAATTAGGGAAATAGCCTAAAATCATGGATCGGCCTTTTCGCGATCTAATGTTCGACTTTCACTTCTTTTTAATTTTTTAAAGATCTGTCGCTGAGGACTTAAAAGCCGGACGTCCAGTCCTTCCCCAATACTATTCCAATACAACAGTACTTTTCTCTGATATTCGAGGCTTTACACGTATTGCTAGTACATCTACACCGATACAAGTTGTTAGCTTTTTGAATGATCTCTTCTCCGGTTTTGATGCTATAATTGCTAAACATGATGCGTATAAAGTTGAAACTGTGAGGAATTTTTGGAGGATTTTCTTTAAAATTTTGTCCTTATTTTTCTCGTCTAAAGATTGGAGATGCTTACATGATTGTCTCAGGCGTTCCCCGCGAAAATGGAAATGCACATGTCCAACACATTGCTGATATTGGTTTAAAAATGCGATCGGTTTTGGATCATTTTTCAAAATTTTATTTTAATTTCCTTTAGTTTGTTTCAAATTTTAAATTGGCTCACAAACCAGACGAAATAATGATGGTTATTAATTTTTAAAATTAAAAGATTACATCGAAAATTTAGGTCAGAATCGGATTTCATAGTGGGCCTGTCGCTGCGGGTGTTGTAAGTATTCTTTTCTTGGATTTTCACAAAAAATTATTAAATTTTCAAAAATTAATTTTAGGTTGGGTTGGCAGCTCCTCGCTATTGCCTTTTTGGTGATACTGTTAATTTTGCTTCTCGAATGGTTTTTTGTTCTTTAATATTTAAATAGTAACTACTTAATTTTGAAGGAATCAAGTGGAGTTGCCAACAAAATTCAGGTAAACTAATTTCTAGAAAATTCTCATAAAGGATTATGAGAAATCCATAAATAACCATCATTTTTATTCTAGAAATTTTAGAATTGCACTATAAAATATAAATAAATAGTAGGAATCTGGGCAGAACAGAAAAATAATTTTTTAAATTAAAAAGAAATTGTCCCAAATATTTTATTATTCTTTGTCTGCTTTAATAAAAAATTATTTTATAGATCAGCGAGAATTCCTACAATTTACTTAAATGTTTTTATCACCATTTTGTGGTTGCTGAACGAGGAAAAGTTGAAATTAAGGCAAATAAATATTTTAAATATTTTTTAATTTTTTAAATTATTTAAGGGAAAAGGTGAAGTAACAACTTATTTTTTGGAAAGTAAAGAATTAAATAATTATGGACGTAAATTCTGATTTTTATAAGAAATATTGAAACAGAAACTCTTTTTGACTTTAATATACATATTTTTGGGAAAATTTTTAAATTTTTTTCTAGTCAAATTTTTGAATTTTTGGGATAAAAATAGGAAAATTTTGTCAATTAATTACTTGATATTACCTCTCAATTAATTCTCTCTCTCATTAATTTTATTCTCCAATGACAGTAAACAATAATTACCCAGGGTAATTATCAAATGAGGCCATTTCAATAATGAAATGGCAAGTTTTCAAATCCTTCACTGAGGACGCTTCGGTCACAGCACAAAATCTCAACTTTTCACATCACAAATATAGCCGAAAGGCTATATTATATATATAACAGCAGCCGCGGTAATTCCAGCTTTTTGGTCACAGCTATATTTTTTAAGCCACAGCTATGTATTAGCAGACTGTTTTCTCCCCACTTAGAATGTAATTTTAACCAAAGTATGGGATTTCATATATCACGATCGCTCAGGAACTAATCGTGCAATTGGAATGGGAGTATTAGGTAATCGACCATCGGGGCCCGTACTATAAGAACGAGTCGTAGATTTAGTACTATAAGAATCTGGTCATTTGCCCAGGTCATTTAACCCATACGAGAGCCAATTTGGTACTATAAGAGACTCGGTCAAAACGGTTTTTTTCCTAGAAGAATTTTTTCCTAGGAATTTTTTACTGATTTTTTGTTCTGATTTTTTTATTTTTCTCCTAACTTCTAAATTCCTCAAAATTTTCGCAGGCGGCGCTAAGAGTATTTAAATAAAAATTTTCCATCATAGAGTGGTTCAAAAAATATCGGTTCAGTATCTGGAACTAAGATCAGGCTGTCGGCAAGTGAAAAAATATTTTCCGAAGCCGCAATCCTCAAAATATTTTCCGCAGCCGCAATCCTCAGTCCGCAAGTATACTCAGTCCCCGATATCAACTCATACCTACTTATCTTATCCTCCGCTATCTCCCCACCTCACTCGACATCCAACTTACATGTATCACAAAATCAGAACAAAAAAATCAGAACAGAAAATCAGAACAGAAAATCAGAACAGAAAATCAGAACAGAAAATCAGAACAGAAAATCAGAGAAAAATTGTTGTGTCCGTAATTTCAGAAAGAATATAAATGAAAATAAATAACCATCATCACGTTGGATGGTGGCACTGTCGGTTGTGCTTCGGTCTGGGCTCATTCCTTGATGGTTCACCAATCTATCTATAAATCTATAATAAATAATGTTATTTTGTATAATAAATTAAATTTTTAGGATTATTTTTTTGCTCTCTTTAAATCCGGCACGGCTCATCTTTGCTCGATAGCCATATTTAAATCACAATATACATATCTATTCATAATTTTAATCAGAATGTAAATTCTATTTTCTAAAGAATTTAAAATTAAGACCAAAATTATAAAAGGTAATATAGGTACAAATTTAGATAAAATTTTATTATAATACATATTTTATTTCTTCATCTTTTTTAGAAACAAAAAAATCAAACCAACATTTCAAACCAACAATTAAAAATCAAACCAACAATTAGCTTATTTTATTTCCTTGTCAAAACAATACGTGGATATTTAAAACAATTTTTATGATAAATTTCCTTTAAATAAAGTATTAAATATATAAATAAATTGTTTTCAAATAAATGTTTAAAAAATTCAATCTAAAATATTACTAAGATTTTATTTGTGTTAATAACCAAAACATTAATATTTTTTATGTTTTATAGAAAGTTGTAAATATTTAAACAAAGATTTTTATCAGTAACAAATCAATTTACTCTGAAATAAAATTTTAGACTTAAATAATTTATTGTCAAATAAAAATGAAGCTTATTCTCATATTATTATGTTTGTTCTCCATAATAACCGTTGGTATGAGTACGGTCAGATTTTATATTTAATTTTTAATAAGAAAAACCGTGTCTAAAAATCATGTTTCATGCATGACAATATTTCATTAGCTAAAAGTTTAAGTTAAAATATCTTGTTCGAAATGATAACTAAGCGATACTCTCTCCTATAGAGGGATTTGGATATATACGGATAGGAAATTTATAGTATCGAAGAATATTGAATTTAAGGATCTAAGGTTGGCGGTTCCGTGTATCCGGAACCGAAAAAACCCCGGATATCCGGAATAATAATTATCGAAAAGATTATGAAGGATTAAGAGGTATATTGTCGATTTAGAAGGATAACGGGTATTTGAGCATATAGGAGGTATCAGGGGTTGGTGTGATATAGGAGGGTTCGGATATCGGTTCCGGTTCCGGATATCCGGAAATTTCCCAGGAACCGCTATCCTTAATCAGGACATCGGAAAGTAAATTAGCAGGAAAGAAAATGCAAATAAAGTCGAAAATTAACAAGATGCTCATAAACAGTGAGAAAAGGGCTCATTTTCTTGCTTCCGGCTCATGATGAGACGAGCTTCATACCGTTTTGAGTGATCAAGGATTAGTTAGATGGGTTAATTTTGATATCGGTTGATTTTGAGAATTACCCAAATGATGAAAATTTTTAGATATAAGAAGGACCCTACAACTTAAGTTTATCTAAATATGAATTGCTCAGAATATGAGTGTTTTAGAATGTTTATTTCATTTTTAAAAACATTTTATTCAGATTCGGGTCCGCAGATTTCGGGTCCGCAAGTGTCGTTTAACAAAATAAAATAATTAAGATCAATTGTAATGATAATGGTGTTTGTTCTGGATCTGGTCGACCAGGACGAAACACTCGTTGTTCAGGATGTTATAGTTGTACATACAAAGGTTGTTGCCATCACTCTTATACTGATCAGTGGAAATGCTGTAAGATACCTGGCTGGCGTGCTGACGGATATTATAAAGGTAGATGTGGAGGAATATGAATAAAGATTTGACATACAAATTGAAAACTAAATGAAAATTGAGGAATAAATCAAAATAAGGGAAAATTAAATTATAAATATCTTTGTTATTGAAAAAAATGGTTCGTGATAAATGTGTTGAGATCTATTTGATTTAGTTTCTTTATGTTTAATTTATGTTAATACTAGCGAGGTGGGACGGCCTTCGGCCGCCCCACACCGCTAGTCTCATCAGCATTATTCCAGTAAGAGTGCGGGCATAGTATAGGGGACGAGCAGAGGCATTCGGTGGATCGCTGCCAGAGTAGTTGGGGTGAATGACTGATGGAATAATCCTGCGTGCCTGGCCAGGGCTTTGAGTAGTTGACCTGCTTTTTGAGTAGTTGACCCCACCTGCTTTTATTACCCCCTCCAGCGAGAGATCAAACAATAATTACGCAGGGTAATTAATACAGTTTTTACGGTATGTATATTAAATGTTGAACAAAGTAATATTTATGATTAGTTATGGATTATTTAGTTTATTTTTATTAATTTTTTTCACTGATTCTTCTTTTTACACTGAATTTCGTCGAATTGCCGAACATTTGCTTCCATTATTCAGATTATTTTCCTTTGTCTCCTTAAAGGTCCTAAATATTTTTTTATTAATTTAGACTTTAAAAAATTTTTTGTTACGAAGCAAAGCTAAATAGAAGGTATTATTACGCAGCTTTCTAAGCTTAATGGTAACCAAATTTAAATAACTTATCCTAAAGGTATAGTAATGAGATTATAATAATAATATAGTGATGTATCTAATGTGATTCAACTTCCTAAAATTTAATTAAGAATAAAATAAAGACCATTTTGTGTTGAAATCCACCAAACTTTTACTCTTCTTTTTTGGTTTTTCTTTCTTCTTTTCCTTCGCTTCATTCAAAACTTCATTATAGCTTTTCACGCTTTTTCTCCAATTGCCTTCAATTCCTTCTTCTATTTTTTTCTTTCTTCCCTTTTCATTTTGCCCTGCAGTGCCATTTTTTGTAGACCTTGCTTTTGGGTATTTGTAGGCTAAAAATTTAAAGTTTTATTATCCGTGGTGCCGAAACGGATTTAAAAAAAGATGGCATATCCAGGATGTCCATAATCATTAGACGCTAGCTTTAATCTTCAAGTCCTTTTCCTAAATACATATCGTATAGTCGAACTTACTAATACATCACTTTTGGACTAACATTTGAAAGAAGATGATTTGTGAGTTGGAGTTAAATCAGTCTGATACATACTAATCAGCACCGAGATGGGGTGAAAGGAAGGGGCACCGGCTCCTACCTTTTTCAAATCATGGGTATCTTAGTCCCGATTCCGGCCAAAGCTAACTCTCGGAATCATGCCCACATTACTTCAAACCCACCTTCCTTTTCCTTAACCACTTTTGACCTATCTCTCCAATTTTCCACTTTATCACTTTCATTCAGTTTTATTTCTGTCTTACCATCATCCTCAGTTGAGTCATCATATTCATCTTCACTAGCTGTGTAGCTAAGTAAAGCTGAACGGGTAGTCCATTCACGAAGCTTTAATGAAAATTTAATACATAACTCACTCAAATCTTCCCCTTAACCCTCCGCCATTCTCCCTCCCCCCCCCTCCCTCAGAAAAAATATCCCCCCCCCCTTCTTCTCCCCCCCCCCCTTCCTTCTTACTCCTCCCCCCTTTTTTCTCTCCCCCCCCCCTTCTCTCCCTCCCCCCCCCCCTCCAACAAAATTTCCAAACTTTTTTCAAGACGTCCTCCTTTTCATTAATAATTTGCTTCCCTTTTTTCTCTTGAATCTCTTTTCCAGCATCTCCTCCTTTGCCTTCCTTATTAGCTTGTGCTGTATTTGCCTTCTTTCGTTGTCTAGAGGAAGCGCCAAAAGTTCCTCGTTTGTCATTATTTGGATTAATTATTATGGAATTACTGTTATTATTATCTCCAAAATTATTTGGAGTGCTAGAACGAGTAGAGGAGCTTCCCAAAAATTTGCTTTGTCGATTATTAGGAGAATAACCGTTTCTTCGCTTATTTTTGTAATTATATGAACGAAAACTGTAAATATAGGGAAGGATAAAAATTTTTAGTTGAACCAATATGTATTTAAAAATCAGTGAA